TGAACACAGTGAAAGAATGATCTAAAATTTCTCTTTCTTTCTTTGAAATAAGCACATCTACGCTTATATTTATTTATTTTGGGGAGGGGCAATTACCCCTTTAGCAGTCTGATACAGCCTATGGACTCCTTCCCAGAATGCTTTTCTAAAATAAGTAACAGTAAATAGATAGGATTATAGATAAATGAAGTATACTGGGATATATTAGTGCAGGTTCACAGACCTGAGGTTCTGTGGATCTAAGTTAAGGACCTAATTTATGCAATCTCTCTATAAAGGTTTTATTCAAGAGTGAGTTCAAGGCATTTCAACAAAACATGTTAGAAAGTGTCTAAGCAGGGGAGACAGATTTAGACTAGGGCTAGGCGGGTAACAGGAATACTAGCAGGAAGGGTGGAAGTGCATGTGTGAGTGGTGGGGACTGTGGCAAAATGCAAAGTGCATGCCCTCTCTTAAGGGGGTAGCCTTTATTAAGGTCCACCAGATTTTTGCCACATGTGGATGTGGGCACCATATGGCCATGCAGTCCACTTTTTCAAGAGAAGCCAGGCATCTGGATTTTTATACAAACTATTCATATTTGTTAACGTTGGCTGGAGAAAAAAAATAAGACTGTTTGGGACGAAGGAAATGTACCTTTTCTCAGATTTGCCTGGAGTGCTGCAAGTTCGTAACTTCAGGAAAGAGGAATTGGAAGAAATTAATCACTCATATTTTTAATGTATTTGTTTACTATCAGTATCTTTATTACATTTATTTTGAAACTTAAGAATTAAACTTAATTTCCTTCCCAGAGTGGTAGCTTGCTACCATAGAACAATCAGAGGTTTCAGGAGCTAAACTATTTTTAATTCTTTCAACAAACATTTATTGAAAACATACTTCTATGTGCCAGGTAATACACAAGTTGGTAAGAATAAAAAGACGAAGACACTGTCTTTGTTTCCAGAGATTACAGACCAGTATGAAAAGAGCTGTACCAAAAGATTTTATACAATCTGTGAAGGCCTATCCTAGAGATATGTCAGAAGCACAAAGGGAGTAGGAGGGAAGAAAACATGTGTCTTCCCAGGAGATTGGAAGGGATTCTCAGAGCAGAGATCTCTTTGAGTAGACCTTTGTATCAAGGGGCCCAGGTTATTAATGATCTAACAGATTATTCTGAAGAACTGGTCTTTTATCCTAGAGGAAATAGAGGGTTATTGAATAACAGATTATTCTGAAGAACTGGTCTTTTATCCTAGAGGAAATAGAGGGTCATTGAAGAATTGTGAACAAGGAAGTGGTATGTCCAGATTTTTACGATCATTCCAGCTACAGTATGGAATATGGCCTACAAGAGGAGACAGAGTAGAGAATGAAAACCCACAAGATGATGATTTCAATATTTCAGTGAACTAGGGCAGCAGCAGGGGTCGGTGGGGCATGAGGTAAGACTACTTGGTTGGAAAGATATTTAAGGAACAGAAACAACAGAACTTGGTGGCTGATTGTATGTTAGTGGGCAGAGTGGTAAGAGAGAGGGAAGAGTTGAGAATGACTCGAGATCCTCTATGAGAGGTATAAAGTTGAGAGCACAGTCCCTGGAGCCAGACTACTTGAGTTCAAATCCTAACTTTTCCACTCACTAGCTGTGTGACTTTAAGTAAGTTATTTATCCTCTTTGAGCCTCAGTTTTGTATATGTGCCAAGTGTTCTTACAACAGTGTTTATATCTGTGCCTGAAGATTACTGTTATTATTATTGATTATTATAATTCTGGTTAGGATGGTGTGCCATTCAGTTTGTTTGTTTTAGAAGACTAAATGTTGCATTTGAAGTGCTTTTAGAAGATTCTAGGTTTGCATAGTTGAATAAAGGGGATCTCTGATTGGGAAGAAAGTTTCATTAGAACAGTGATGGTGGTTAAAGCCTCTTATGCAGATTAAATAGCCTTAGGCATTTTTGGAGAAGGCGGCCAGGGTTTGAGTCTCCAGGACACTGATGTTTAATGAGTAAATAAAGTAGGAGGCAAAATATGTGGAGGCTCATAAGAAGAGAAGGCCAAAGAGGTGGTAGGAGAAAAACGAAAGAGCAGTGTCTAAAAACCAAGAGAAGAAAGGATTTTAGAAAGAGTACAGTCAATACAGAAAATGCTGTAGAGTCAAGTATGATGATAACTGACAAGCACCTATATTTAACAATTGGGAATTCTTTAATAAAGTACCTTAAAATGGCTCCTTGGTATTTGACACACAGAAAACACTCAAATGTTAGTTTCCATTATCTTTCTTAATTTTAAATGCATTTCTAGAGAGAGAAGAATGAAAAACAACTACTAGATTGAACCATATAACTTTTCATATTTGTAAGTCAAAAAATGTTGAATTCAACAATTTCACATAGTAACTGAAAAGCTGCTTCAAAGATCAGTAGAGTGAAAACAGACATTTGTTTCTATTGTTGGTGTTATGATGCAAGAGTAAAAATTACCCCTTATTCTAATTTTCCTAAAGAAATGGAGCTGATAATGATTGCCAATACTGTACTCACACAAATAGAGGGTAATGATACCTAAATGCCTTCCTTACTCTATATTCTACTGTAGTTATTTTCCTTGTCACTTTGCCTTTGAGCCTAAAAACTGCAGGGATGAAACCTAAATGCAAAAGTAATTTGAAAGGAAGAATATTTGTACTTTTCCAAAGCAATGTCTTCTGTTACTAATAACATTGGTATTACGAAAAAGTCTAGTTATTTTGGCAGTGTAGAGTATAAAGTATAAAATGTTAAGAGTGTTGGCTTTGGAATCAAGTCCTGACTCTACCACTTATCAGGTATGATGTCCAGGGAAAACTACCTACTTTTCTATGGCTCCATTTTCTCATTCAGAAAAGGGAGGAGAGACTGCCGTCACTTGGGATTTTATTAGGCTAAGGGAAGATAATGTATATAAGGGGTTTAGCACAGTGCCCTTATAACAAATGGTAGCTTATGGTATTTCACTTTTCATCTCTCCATAGTGGGTAAGCATGAGAAAGTCTGAAAGAATTGTTTTTAAAAGAATAGGTACTTTTAGAAGGATTAGTCTTTTCATTCACCAACAAAAACTTTTAAGTTCTTTCCAGCAGTGTAGCCATGTCCAATCACTGGTAGCCTTCCAAGAGAACCAGCAGTCAGATCCATAACTTTCCAAGACACAAGGGCAGAGTAAGCTTTGTGCTTCTCATCAGTAGGGAACTGGCCAATGTGTTTCTTCATAACCAATGAAGTACATGACTCATAAAACAAAATCCCTCAAAATCTGTACCCAAATAAAAGCCATATAATCAACTCCAAAGACTTACACACAAGTGACATCACCAATGATGAACCATAGGTATCTTCATCATATCCCCAAATATCCTGATTAGTCAGATATTTTACAAAGATTAAAAAACAAATTACTTGTTAAAATATATTTCTCTTACGGGTCGGCCCCGTGGCTTAGCGGTTAAGTGCGTGCGCTCCGATGCTGGCAGCCCGGGTTCGGATCCCGGGCGCGCACCAACGCACCGCTTCTCCTGCCATGCTGAGGCCGCATCCCACATACAGCAACTAGAAGGATGTGCAGCTATGACATACAACTATCTACTGGGGCTTTGGGGGAAAAATAAATAATTTAAAAATATATATATATATTTCTCTTTCACTTTACATTACATTAAAGCAAAATAAATTTGTAAAATAACCTGAAACTGTCTCGTGAAAAAGCACAGATAGTTCCTCACCAGTTTCAAAGTACACAGAAGTGTCTCATTTTAAATTTAAAATTGAATAAAAACAAGGCTGAAAATGCCCTAACCTGTTATTACTTTGCATTTTTATGAAAGATTACTATGCTTTGCTACTGACAAAATGGTTATTAAAAATATAATACAAGAGTATTCAGGGAAATGGAATCTCAGAAAGTATGATAGTATTACAGATCTTAAAGAAAGGCCACCAGTGCAGATGTTCCTAATCATACTAAAAACACAAATACACAACCAGTTTGTTCCAGCTACAGAATAATTCAATTAAAAGGGTGCTTATAATTTAACAGTATGAATAATAGTTGAAGCCAGGGAGGTAGTGAAACTGCAAGGAAAGATAAATCTACAGAGCCTATGCCAAGGGAAGTGTTCCAAATTTTCAAGGCTGAGAAATCAGTTCCTTTCCTGCTACAGGTAGGAAATTATTACCTGAATTAGTAAAAAGAAAGAAAAAAAAAAAACTACAATGAATAAACCTTTAAGGAAAACACACACACACACAGACACACACATGCTCACATACACATGCACACTGGTTAACTAAAAGCTTTCACCAAGAGAAACACCTATCTAAATCCAGAATATCATTTAGAATCTGCTTTGGGAAAGTTAAAATCACACTTCTCACCAGTTTAAATTTCTTATTGAGAAATAAATACAGTACCTAATGCAATACAGAATTAAATAGGCATGCACAGTAAAACATAAGCTCTAAGGACAAACAGGATTCTCTTTGCAAATAATGATCTTGGCAAAGAGCCTCCTTTATGTACAGAAAGCTCTGTTCCTTGCTTATAGCAACTCTCAAAGCTACAGCAGGTAATTGTGTGCTGTTAATTAGGTTCACAAAGGATGTGTTCAAGCCAGGAGATATTTTATAGCTTGATTCAGCGAAAGTAGGAAACTGTATCAGTAAAGTCAAGATATAAAAACTCATTCTCCCACAATTACTGATCTTTTACTCTTATATAGTATGAATTTTAACACTGCAAATATGTAATGACATTCAAAAACTGGTTCAATGCGTAATAGCTATCAAAAAATAGCAAAAAAAAAGACAACTAGAATAAGTTTTGTATACAGATAGTCAATGTGTTTATTCCCCCAAAGTTAATTAAATATCCATTTCATCAGCTAAATTGTAGATCTTAGGTCACAGTACTCTTCCAAGAAAGCAATGTGACATCAATTCTGCACAAAACAGGAAAATCAAATGCAGTACATTACCTTGTGTCACCTGTTGAACTGCCAACATTATCCCAGACACAGTGTCTGGAAGCAAGTTTTCTTTCAGATTATAATGTGGCGCCCATTCCAAAATAGGTAGCCGCCTCCGACACCACTGTTTCAGGTCCTCACAACGCGGGGCGTGCATCTTGCTCCAGAGCACGCTTTTCTTTTCCCTCTTTGCCCCTGTCATTTTTCAGATTCCCTCTTGTAGAAGTAAACTTCTTTAGACAAGGAAAAAAATCGTTGCAGAACACCTCTTTTCAATGCCAGGCTCCAATTCGTCTGTGGTTTACAATGTCAAAGCTATCCAGAAAATAAATCAACAGAAGAGAGAGAGGGAGAGGGATTAGCAGAAGCGCTTAAATATATGCGGCCAGACTGTATGTCTTATTACAGTGCAGCTCATTATTCTAGGTAAAAAATATAGATTAAAACCTTGAATTCTTATCTGAATGAGATGGAGAAATGGTTCTCGTTAGTGTAATATTTTTCTGATCTTGGAAAAGTAATGGGTTCAGTATTAAGTTGGTCTAGAGCTCCCTCGCCAGTAATTCCTCTTATATTCACTGTAGTCTTATGTTTTTGGCTCCAATCCCAACGGCTAATGAGGTAGTTATGGGCGTGTGTTGGAAGTGGGCTGGGTTATGCTAATGAACCAGGAGGCATTCAGCTAGTTCAGTGTCTCCCTACAAGCTATGCAAAACCATAAAACTGCCAGAGGGGTCTGTCGTGCAAAATATATTCAGAGCCTCCAGCCTTATTTCTTTGGGAAGTATATATTTTCAGTATATCAAATGACTGCCAGTTCTACAAAATTCAGAAACATAAGAGGGCATTGCTAAATATCCTTATCTTTTTTATTCCTTGGGAGATGAGATTTTCATTCATATAGAAACATTCAGATAGCCACTGCCCAGTCTGGGAACAGAATAGCCAGTTCTCATAAACAAACTGAAATTTCATCTCATGGGCTAAGAAAATAAGCATCACAACGAACAAATATTTGTGGCAACAGTTCTTCCCCGTCTCTGAAATTGTTCATTCAGCTTGCTCTGACTATTTCTCCTAGTCATATAATTCGCACACCCATGCTGTTGTAACTGAATTTGCTTGAGGAATAGCATGTGGTTCAGACTACGGTTTGAAGTGTCCCCAACTTTCTGTGTGGTGCTGCCCTCTTTTCACATGACTTTGGGGGATTTTTCTCTTTCAGAAAGGATGTTACATTTTATAACAGAACAGACAGGCTGTCAAAGTTTTATTTTATGATTTTTCCCCCCAGCCACCAGAAGAAAAAGCCTGCATTTACGAGCTGTGCCATTGGAATTAACCCAAAAACCCAATATATTCACTGAAAATTGTGAAGCCAAGAAAAAGAATACCATGTGTATAGTTTGCTGCAGCCCTTTTAATGCCTATTTGTCCAGAGAGCAGAAATCTGGTTTCTGGAATCCTTTAGAATAACAAAGGGCTTGGATCCCTTGGCTGCTTCCAAGTCCCTGCTGCACCTTTTCCCAGTGTTGTTACATTAAGGTGAAGAGTTACTCTCTCGGTCTTCCAAATATGACATCACTGGCTTTCTATCTGTGCAAAATTACCTTTCTTTTAAAATCCAATGAATCCTAGATATGTAGCAATATATGTACACTTTATTCATATGTAAAGGATACAATTTGCTTTGTATTTTTGCAATCGTTTACATTACATTAAATTTATAAACTCTTCATTAGTTTAGATTTGTAGTCCCATTAGAGACTGAGTTGCAGCATTTTAACCCTATTCTTTTGGTATGAGAAGTAGACTCACCAGATAAGTAAATCCACTTTTCATAGAGACACTGGGTTGCTTTTCCTTCACAAACAGCAATCTTTAACTTTGTTTTATATACTCCATTCAGTATATAAACAAATTCAGGAGCTATACATATACTGAGTATGTATTACTTTTATAATCAAAATTAACACTAAGGATATTTTTTCAAAACATATCTAGGTCATAAATTCAAATTTATGCTGATAAGAAAAATAATTGACTGCTTGACTGAAATCACAAATCAACAGCTAGGATTTGTGTAATTTCAACCATTTAAAAAAAACTTTTGTGTCACATGTTAGTAACAAAGATTTCATACGAACAGGAGTTTTAGAATTGAAGATGAATCGGTATAGAAGTATGTAAACTTATTAGTGACAGTAACTGTTCTAAAACATCCTAAGACCAGGAGGGACAAGAAATTAGTTTGATAAAACAGTTCTGTAGTCTCTCAATCAAAAAGTATCTTTGATTTTTAAGGATAAATCTGGAATTCCAATTCCAGATTTGTTTCCAATTCCATGTAGTTACACATTATTTAAAACACACCAAAATCTCACTCCAGAGCATGGTATCACTCCTACTTAATAATCAGCAATGCCAAAAAATCTTTATGAAGAAATTTATTTACACCCATGAGATTCCTACCATACTTTGACCCATCCCATAAAATTCAAGAAGACTAAATATATTTATTCAAAAATTTCAAAAGGGGGTCAAAAGGTAAAAAATTCAAAAAAAGAAGATCTCTAACAAATCAGAAAAAAAAGTTTCAATGACTAAAATTAGCTTCAAGTTCAGGACTAGGTATCATCTATATGAGACAACTCTTCCCAAATGTCCAGGCAACACTTACACAAATAAAAAGTTGAATTTATTATCTTCCACTTCCCATGTAGAATGACAAAAAAAGTCTTCTTCCTAAAATATCATTTTGATCACATCCCTAACATGTTTAAACTTCCAAAAATCTCCAATATCAAATGTAAACTCATTAGCACTAGCATGCGACCCTCTCTACTTCCCTACCCACCTCTGAGTAGCTTCCTGTCAACTCTGTTTAATTCAGCAAGTATCTATTGAACAACTACTCTTTCTAGACTCTGTGTGAAGTGCTGTAGAAAGGGGGGAAATATTGTCTCAACTTTCTTGGAGTTACCATTTGATGAAGGAAATAGAAAAATGTATAACTAACTAACTCAGGGCAAAATGGCATAAATTAATAATTAAGTCACACAACAAGTGTTCTAGGAGCTCAGAGAAGGGAGAGTTGCATTCCCACTGAGAAAAAAGGCTTCCTACCCTGCCTAGACCCTCTGTTCCAGCAGATAAGTATACATACTATGTGCTGCACATTGCTTTGATTCTTCAGTATATCTCCACACTAATTTCCTTAGTTCATGGTCTTTTTCCTCACCTAAACATTTACTCAATACTTACTTCTTCCATGAAACTTTTGCTGGCTTCCCCACAGTTTTGTTCATGCTGTATACCCAACATCCAGGCAACCCTCAGGCTATTTATGGGTGTACAGCTGGTAGTCATTTTCACTGTCTACTGGTTTTCTTCCTTGAAATCTATTTCATGTGATTTTATCCAATCTAGCTCATGAGATTGTAAATTCCTTGTGAGTAGGGATTATTCACAGAACTTGCTTTGCCTCTTTTCTTAGGATCTAATAGAAGGTCCTGCAGACATAGGATCCAACCAGTAAGTGTTAACATATGAATGTCCCTACTTCTGAAATCACCCAAGAATCATTTAGTCTCTCAGCCTGGTTTCCAGGCTGCACTGTTAAAGAATCAGGAGAGTAGATGGAGAGAGAAAAAGAGCTAGAGACAGTAGCGGGAAAAATAAGGAGAAATTTTGTCTTGCTCAACTTCTCCTCATTCTCTCACAATCTAAAGTTCTATCTTTTTTCAACACAATTCCTTTTTCTTATACTATAGAATCTGGAGAATGGAGAGGGGAAAAACTAGATAGTAAATGCAGGAGAAAGGTAGGAGGCAAAATAGAGACAGAAAACCTCATGGACTGGGGTTTCAGAGAGTTTTAGAGGGTTAGCAAGTGAGAGCCTTTGGAGCAAATGAAGTATGAGGGAATTGAGACAGGCTCGAATGAAGAAAGAATCTTTGACAAACATTGTAAATTGGATCACATTTAATGGTTTTTGAGAGACACTAGTAAAGATTGAAATTCTTCTCATATTACTTTTGATTGTGGTATTATGCCTCTTTGAATGTGATCTATGTAGAGACTGGAAAACCTAAAGCACTGATTTAAATCCAGGTTACACTTGGAAATATAGATTCATAAACCTCAGGAGGCATCAACTTCCAACTCATCTACTTCAGGAAGTTAATCTACAGCATTTCCAGCAAGAGGACACTGCAGAAGGTTCCCATATGAGGGGAAAAGTAGAGGCAGTGAAATTAAGGCCATGTTCTGCTCACTGAGCCATGTAACCGGCATGGGGATACCTCCACACAGAGGGAGCAACTTTTAAGAGCAACTTTCTAACTTTTAAGAAAAGTTAAGAAATTAACTTTTCTTAATTTACCCCAAATTTCACATAGGCTGGCACACCCCTGAATCCAAGCTCTGTTTTTATTCTTCTAATGACTGAAATTAACAGGCTTAGAAAAGTAGCCCATTCCAATTTTCAGACATTCTAATTGTTAGAACATTTTTTCCCAATTACTGACCCAAGATCTGCTACTTAAAATGTCCACTCTTTAGTCTTTATCCTAATCTCTGTGACACATAACAATCCTTCAGTTTCTGGACTGATTCATTTAGTGCTACCCAAAAAAAGTTCTGATTTTTTATGGTTCTGTTCATTTCAGAAATACTATTACATTTAAACGTGGGTGCACATATATAAATCAATCACAGCCCTGAACAGTGCAGTTAATGTTTCACTCGTAACAGGCCAACAAGTACAGTAGACTAAAGAAGATACTATGCTCTCAGTGCTGATTGCTAATGTGTCCTACTTTGCTTTCTTTGAATTAAATAGCACTTTCCAGTCTGTTTCTTTACCATGTTTTTTCTTATTCTGACTTATTTTAACCCATAATAGGGGCCAAAAGGAGATAGCTCTAGGGAAGTAAAAAAATGCCTAGGGAAAAGAATCACTTTACATTCAAATGCATGTTTTACAATGATTCAAGGCATTTTCAAAGACAGGAAAGAAAGAAAGAGAGAGAGAGAGAGAGAGAGGCAGGGAGGGAGTGAAGGAGGGAGGGAGGAAGGAATGGAGGAAGGGAGGGAGGGAGGTGTTATGGACTTCAATTATTTGCCATACGTTTTCATCTTTTTACTTTTAACCTATTTGTATCTTTATATTTAAGGAGGTTTCTGGTTGGTGGCATACAGTTGGTCTTACTTCCTTAATCCAACATGACAATCTGTGCCTTATTTGCAGTACTTAGACCATTTACATTTATGTGATTATTGATATAGTTGAGTTTAAATCTACCATCTTGCTATTTATTTTATATTTATACCATCAGTTCTTTACTTTTTCTTCTTTTATTGCCATCTTTTGGATTAATTATTTTTTATGATTCTATTTTATCTCCTTTGTTGGTTTATTAGCTATAACTCTTACTTTAGTGATTGCTTTAGGGTTTATAGTGCACATCTTTAACTTACCAAAGTCTATCATCAAATGATATCATACCACTTCACATTTAGTATAAGGACCTTACAACTGCATACTTC